ACGGCCCAGGCAGCTCTCTGACAGCAGCCCCAGCGCCGGTGGAAGCGAGGCCCCCCTGCAGTGCTGAATCACACACCCACGCCTGCAGGTTTTGCCTCCGGTTCCCAGGTGTTTCCTGAGCACCTGTCTGGCCTCCGGACACGTATCTCTCTGACCATTCCTAGGGACAGGGACCCCGCCTGCACGCTTCCCTGCTGTGGTCAGAACCCGGCCCAGCTTCCTGCGTGGAGCAGGTTCTGAGTCAACACTCACTGGGGACCCACGCGTGTCCCGCTTTGTGCTGAGTGGGCAGGGCCTGGGCAGAGGAGGCGGGACCTGGAGCTCCAGCATTGCGGGTTGGTGGTCAGAGGGCCGTGGGACTGTCAGTGCCACTAGGACTGGCCGGCTGCCCCTCTGCCCAGGGTCCTACCTGCCTGCCAGCAAGGGTGGGCATCAGTGTGCTAAGGACCGCCTTCAGGCCCATCACCAGGAACCTTTGCTTCTCTGTGTGCGCTCTGACCACATGGGTGACAGCATAGAGTCTGTGAAGGGGGCCTCCCACCACTTCCTAGAACCCACCTAGTGCCTGTCCCTCAGCCGTGGTCAGCAGGGCTTTTGCAAGCCACCTGGCACACAGCCCATCCCCAGACCGGAAGGTTCTGTGTGCTGTGTCCTGTTCAGAAGGCAGAAGCCCCCGTGTTCCTGGCACGGGGCCCCAAGGTGGTCTGCAGCCTCTGGCCCTGCTGCTGCTCTGTCCCTCCTCCATTCGAGGAGCTGAGGTTTCATCATCCCCAGTTTGAGGTCCAGGCTTGGGGGGGGGGGCCAGGGAGGGCCAGGATCTGACAGGGCCACCTGCCTGATGCAACGGCCTGGGCCCCTTGCCGGAGGCTCTGTGCTGGACACATGCTGTGCTCCCCAGAGAGGCGGGCCGTCTCCTGGGGCCTGGAGCCAAGTGCCTGCCCTCCGCCGTCAACCTCCTGCCCCACGCGGCCTCTCTGTGCCTGTTTCTGTGTGACAGTGGCCATAGTCATGACCACCCCTGAAGTTGCCAGGACGGGCAGCGTGCTGCCCATGGACAGCCCCAGGCCACGTCCTCCCCCTTGCCTCTGCCCTTGGATCTGCAGAGGCCACGCAGACCCCCTGGATGGCACCCAGCCCTTGAGACAAGCCAGACTCGGGGCGATCAGTGTCTGTCACTGTGTCCAGTGAGGGTCTTCGCAGACCTGTCTTACAGATAAGTAAAGCGAGGCCCAGAGGAGCCGCGTCACTCCCTTCACAGCCCATGTGGAGCTCAGAGGTCAGAGCCCACTCCGCTGACCCCAAAGCCTGTGGCGTTGACAGCTGCCCAGACCTGACTCGCTGTTTCCGGGAAGCTTTGTTGCCGCTCCATTCTGGAGGCCTGAAATGGGGGCTCCCAGCCAGGCCCTGCTGTGCGTCCAGTTGCCCTCTGCTGTCAGCCCCCGGTCCTGAGCGCCATTCCTTAGGCTGTATTAGAACTTCTTACCTGGGACTCCTCCCGAGCCCCAGCCCGGCCTCCCTGCCTCCAGTCTTGCCCCGATCCAGCCCAACAATGCCGCCAGTGAGGTGGCCTTCCACGTAGCTGGGCCTCACCCTCTGCCTGGTCCCGCTGCCTTCAGGTGAAGGCCAAGTCTTTGGCAGCCTTGGGGCCCGTGAAGGAGGCAGTTCCCAGGCACCAGGGCGTAAGTCAGGTAACCCCGGTGTGCACGGAGGGTGGCCTGGCTGGGAGCTACTGGCCAGCCCAAGGAGAAGCCCTGGTGTGTCCCCAGCACCCGGCTGGGCCAAGTACCCCAGGAACAGATGTCTTGCCCCAGCGCAGACCTAGGAGATGGCGGTCGTTTTGTTGGTAAAT